TGTCTGATAGAAGAGGTAGAATTTCTTCGGTGACTTTTTGATTTCTGTAGTCTCGGCCACTTCATTGTAAGATTGTACTTTTACGCTACCAATAAGATGGTTAAAATAACTAGACAGATATATCCTGGTACATCCTCTTACTATGATTAAAGAGAAATATTTTATAATGTATTACGCTTGATATGCGAGTTTCCCTCCCCCACGAAATTGGCTCGTAAAACGATCATTAGTCAAACTCCAGACATTATAGACTTGGGTTAAGGATCCTCAAGTATATAAACTCACCTGTCATGTTGTCACTCTGTTGTTACCCTAGGTTTGTCGTTTTTCCTGGTGATTTTTTAATATCATTGGGTGCCTTCATTTATTGCAGAGCAGGTGACGGGGTTTAACGTAAAATATAGGTCATTAAGAGAACAAATATAGGGCTGATTTTGGATTAATGACTTAACCGATGATAATTCGGACGAGGAATCGTATCCTGGCTACGGCGACGCCGGAAAATTTATAGGCAAACGCATTTTGATAAGGCGAATGTAACTTATTTCACTGTGCATCTGCATTGACATAAAATTAGCGGTCGTGACAGGACACTTAGTAGTTAATTGGACTGTGAATTTACCTGGATAAGACAGCAAGGTGTCATCCTTCTTGTCCCAAAATTGAAAAATCAGGTAAAAATATTTTTTGGGACAAACAGGATTTTGTAAGTATAAGTCTGTAATGGCTAAGAAAACAAACCAGGTAAATTTAGCACTACATTAAACTATAATATAATGTACATTTTATATCATTTTACAATTATACTTACAACATAATTTAACTTAGAAGGATGTGATATAGTATACATTTTATGTTCAACTATACAGTTCAGGACATAACTATAGAAATCAATGAAACCAATAAATTTACACAATTCAAAACAAAACGAAATCAGTCCATGTGCAACAGTTATGTGGCTCTGCCTCCGTAGTTGATGTAGTCGATGTCGTTGTTTCGTAGGACAGTTTTCAGTTGGATAAGACGGTCATTAAGCATTCTGTAACGACGTCTCTTTGGCACAGGCAGTCCTCATGCAGCATGTTGTAGGCGGTTAATGTAATTGGTAGCTTGAATGTCTTTCAATCCTCTGAGGAATATGAAGATGTTTGGATGTGCATGCGGGATATTTTTCTTGAGTTTGCTATGCCATCCTTCCAAGTTGTTTGTTGTCCTGGGTCCATCGTTGTCAAAGTGGTTCCAAACTTGTCGGTCTCCTTCTATCCATTGGGTGGTGACGTAGTTAATGAATGGTGTTGTATCTACGGGTAGGTCGACGTCTTCAAGGTCCTCCAAGGCGTTGAACCAGTAGTCCTCGATGTGATGTGGTGGTATTAGTGGAAGGACGGCGGCTCGGCGAATCAGTCTGTGGATGTCTTTATTTTCCGTGTAGTAGGTCTGGAGTCCAAGTAGCTGGATCTTTCTCCAAATACATTTGATCATCTATCATAGCATGGATTGTGTACAGCTGGCTGAAGAATCTTGGGCATGTGTAGAAAGTTCGATCGCAATAGAGTGTGTCGGTAGTTGATAGAATCTCCAGGTTTGTTGTAGTGGCAAAAGCTAACATCCGTGTGTTGTCAATGTTGTCATCGAATAGGAGAAACTGATCCCCGGTGTTGGTATGTGTCCATTCGTCCTCTAGAATAGTATCTGCTGCTGAGGTTGGGAGCTTTGGTAGAAGTATGGCTCTGCTGTGGTAGATGGATGTCTTACACGATGTGTAGATGGGTATCTGTTCCGCCAGTTGTCTAGTCTCAGCTGTCCAGTTGTGCGTCTGTACTTCGGCAATTTCTTCGTCATAGATGGTTGGTACGGGGACTTCAGTTCCTCTCTGCATCTTTCTTAATGTTGTTCATAAGCTTCTGTACTTCTCCTTCGAAGTGGTTGGGTGGATGGCTGTGTTGGTGACCTAATTTTCCTGGGATGTCATTCGTGGTGGTGATTGTTGCAGGGCAGTTCCGAATGGAGCACCTCCAGTAGGTAGTTGTTCTTCACCATGTAGCGGAATCCGGCCTGAAGTAAAGTCCTACCCCCTCGCTTATTGGTTGTAAACTGAACTTGAACTTGATAGTTTGCCATGTTTACAATGATATGTCTGAGTGTCTGATATATATATATGCTTGGGTATTTCTACTCACTCAGGATGGCTTGGAAGTTCACCTCATCCTATTGGTGACTACTGTTCCGGTACAGTTATGCATATCTAGCTTGGGTGTTCAATTTTTATATAGGGCTTGGATGTTCATTACTTCCTCTTATTCCACTTACCTGTTTTAGGCAACCATTTGTTTTTTCACATTTTTTTAAAATGTGTTATTAGATATTTTTAAATTTGAATTTTTAAAAAATATATATGTAATACAAATTGAAATTATATAAAATATTTTGTTTCTGATATCCTATTTAGAGTATTTTATTTAATTCATATTAATTATTCATACATGCATATATATTAGTTAACGTTAAAATAATATTTGTATTTGATTTTTTTCAAAATGTTTTAAATAGTTTTACGGTTTACCTGTGTAAGTTTACCGGTATAAAATTTTGGACAAGTTCTTTACCTGTTAAAACAACACACATAGGTACCTTAAATGTTGTGACAACACACTGCCCTATTTCTGTACATAATGTTTTTGAGACAAACAGGACATAGATTTTTTCAGTTTTGGGACAAACAGGATTAAACCGACAGCAAGACGTCCAGTTTTTCCTGTATTACACAAGAAATGAACTCTCGGCTCACATTTTAAGAAGATATATAGAGTAATTAGTGTTTTTTTCTGCTAAAAATCTCCAAACTAACTATATATAAATTCTATTTTTATCCCAAAGTGCGATATTTTGTTTTATTTTACCTTATGTTTCACTTTTCCTACGCCTCCTTACGATCTTTGTTTTGACGGAGATGGTGATATCTTGGTGGCAGAAAAGGTTACAAACTCAGTGATACTGAATGACGGAAACACTGGACACTTCCATGGGATCATTGATTCGCCAGTCTACAGCATGATCTACGCTCTGGGTCGAACACAAGAATTATGAAACGAAAATAATCAAATAAGTAAAATACCAAATAGTTACTTGGGTAATCTGCTATATAATATGTTCCAATTATATCCGGGATCTGGCAGCGTCATTTAAAATAACTTAGAGCTCTTACGTGAATTATGAAGAAATATAGTTTTCAATTTGTCATTACATTTTCTTTATGGGGAAATAATGAAACATTTTCGACATTTAATTGCATGTTAAGGAAGAAACATTGACAAACAGGGAGAGGATGGATTTCTTTACTTTTTTGTATGTTTAGATATATTTAAAATATATACATATACAATGTATTCGTATCTTGTAGTTTGCCTGTTGGTGCCATTGCTTTTAACCTTGTCCTCATAAGAGATCGTGACAAAACTTATTTGGATGGACCAATGCCGGGCGTCGCCGATGAAGCAGAAGACGCTTACTCTTCCTGAACACCTGGTCTTATTTTCCATTTTCCTTTCCATGAGTTTCCGCGTAAGTCTTTCTTTTGTTAATAGTTTGCCCGTTTTATCAAACTTGAACTTGAATGATGACTATGTTCACATGTTGGTATTTTCCTGTTGTTCTTACAGGAACACTAATAATCTTTCTGAAAATCAAACTAAAAACATACAACTGAGATTTCAGTGATTAATACAGATTTTTGTTAAGATTATTTCCTTATAACACTATTCTAAGGTCACCTGACATTGTAATGTTTCTATTAAATGTAAGTCTGTCCCTTCTACTGATAAAGGTACACATTTTACAACAGTCTTGTGATATCATAATAAGATAAGAATAACTATCGCTTGGTTTACTTGATGCATGTTTGGTATCATGTGAGAAGTGCAAGGTTTGTGTAATGGCAACCTAAGGATATTTATGCCCATCATCCGTGATTTCTATTACTCCTGTAGAGTCTCTTCTCTTCTTTCCGACCAAAATCGATGTACGCCAGAACCCCGACGTGAAGGAAATTAGCGACTTTCTTAAAGACAACAGTGGGCAGAAATCGTAACTTTCAAATATATACAAACCTTAAACTGCCGTTATAAGTAGAGGCTGGGGAATGTGGGTGTGACACATGAGGCCACTGGGTGCATTTTAAAAATTCTGCCGACAGCGGGCTTCATGCACTATCGATTTTATATGTACCATGCAGGTGAAAAACCGACTAGCGTTATCTGAAATAAAACTTCACGCTTTTAGCCCAAACAGTAATGACGTTTCTCCAATGTAGTTCTATGTGCATAGGGTTATATAGAGGTGCATTGTCTATATAATTTTCTATACATAAGGAGTACACTTTGGTCTGGAATGTTTCAATATCGTGCAGCTAGGTGACTTTAATCCATTACTTTAATCCTGTCCTCAGAAATTAGTACAAAGGTGCGATGATACAGTAAAAATTGAAAAATGAAATTATACCGAAAATTTTACGAACCAATGCTTTCTATCGTGAATTTAGATTGTGTGGGTGATTTCTATATTAATGTAAGTCGGATATGTTCCGATATTACCTGTTGGTATTATCAGAGACATATATCACACATATATACGCCTCTGGTATTATGTACCTGTCGTTACAATTAATCATTTTCTACCATATCGGCATTCCCTATCACATGGACCTGAGAACATCTTACATGTGTATTAGGACCTATCCCGACATGTTGGATGAAGGCGGGGGAGGGGGCATCCTCAATGGGGAAGGGGTGCGGGCCGTGGGCAGGATAGGTCACATGTGTTAAGTATTGAATAAAAAATTAAACTTCTTTATTTCAACTTCGGTTTTTTTGTGAAAATTTACCTACCAATACTTGATCGCTTCGACCCCAGCACTTTTTATCGTGGTTAACAGAGCAATCGATTCCGGATTTCCCGGTCCCAGTTTTAATTTTACAGTAGTTTGTAGATCTTCCGGGTGACACGAACCGCAAAACATCAAAATGACGAATGGTAAGATAGGTGAAGAAGATTATATCAATTAATTACAAGATTTAAAAAAAAATAATTCTTAAATGGTCTTGAGGTGGTCTCATGTCAAGATAGGGAATACTTTTAGATATGAACCAAGTTACAACACGGTGTGCGCAAGCACTAAACTTGTGTCTGACTGAATATGCATATCTGATTTCGTCGTCATGTAGCCTCGCCTGACAAACTGAACGGCGGATTGGGAAACATGGAATATTGTAGATTGGATTTCCAGTGGGCCTCTAGCCCTATTGCTTCTGTTACTTGTCCTCTTGTTACACTTGTTTTCATATCTGTTGGACATAACTTGTGCCATTAATTTATCGAAGACTGGGATTGATTTGGCCCCGATAGTTAAATGACACGAAACAGTTATCATCTTATAATAGAAACGTAAGTGGAGGCTGAAGTCTCTTGTTATGAATTCTACCGGGATACATAACACAACATGTAACTGCATGTTCATGTATTGAAATCATATAAAAATGAAAAGTTTATATAGAGACAAATCATTGCAAACAATACAAATATTCTCATGGTTCGACCATAACAGAGGTGCAATAGAAGATGGCAATGTTTGTGAATATTTATTCATATTCCTTCAGAAAGGAATTCACAAGAGTGTGTAGAAGAATTTTTCCAAAAATAGCAATGGTGATCTTGTCATTAACCATACCACATTGAAACTTAAAAGTCCTGAGATATTATGGTCATTAAGAAGAATGTTAAGTGTGATCAAATCCCTCAAGTCATTGACCCCAAAAAGCACTGGCAAAGATTATCTAAAAATAGTAAGTGGCCTTGACCTCAATCCTGAAACTTTAACTCATCTTTTGCTACTTTGGTCCTTTATAATTATACAATCTGATCAAACGTGATAAAGAATGAAAGAACAGTAATTGTTACTTTGACCTTGCCTACAACACTGAACTCAAACTTGTCTGAAATATTAAAGTGTTTAAAAGGATGTGAAAGTTGATCATAATCCCACAACAGGATAGACTGTGACCTTGACCCAATAATCCTGATACTCAAAACTCATACTCATATGATATATCATATTCTTTGAAGAAAATGTGACAAGAATTTTATCAAATTCTTTATGGTGACCTTGCCATTGATCCTAGAACACTGAAACCTTATTATATACTTGTCTCTGAATATGGTCCTTTATAAGCGTGAAAAGATTTAAACTTTCTCAAGGAGTGAAGCTGCTAGAGTGTTGACAAGGATTTTCTAAAACTGGTAATTTACCCGGTATAACTCTAACATTGACTTTGGTCTTACAACAACAAAAATCAGTGATTATTCTTAGATATGTGTATATGTATTATGGTTCTGATTTTGATTAAAAATTCATGAGGAATGATCCTGTGCACATTGATCACAATCACTCAAGGAATAAAGTTGTTAACACTACTGGCAAACTTGGTTGTTCCCTGAAGTATATTTGCTCAAACACTTTTCATATACATCTGTATTCAGACCGATATCAAACATTCTCTTGACATCTTTCTGTGAGGATTGTTATCTCTAGACAATCAAAAGTAACTGGGACATAGGTTAAGTTTCATTGTGATGATCAGTGTTAAAAAAACTTCATATTACTATTTGAGAAAATGTTAACTCGTCATCAAATGCATATCTTGAGTCTGATTCTTCGTATTGATAAATATTTAATATTAAAACTCAGATAAAAAAGTAGAGACGAAGCCATTTCCATTTGTTCATTACCATGTAGATATAGAATCAATGGGTCAAAAAAGAAGAAAAGAAAAGAGGAAAAAAACCCAAAAAATTCCAAATAAATGAAACACCATAGTGCCAACACAAAAGGAACAATGAATGGAAAATCAAAAGTGGACATCATACAAATTCAATAATACACAACAAAAATGTTAAACGTCATTAACATTTACAGAAACTAATGAAGGTGAAATGCATTTTTAACTATTCTGCATTACCCCCTACAATAAATTATTTTGCTGGTTTTTTGTTTTTTTTTGGGGGGGAGGGCGGCTATATCAGCATCACTTTGTCTGTTTGTCCATCTATCTGGAAAAAAATTAAACACATGATAGTACCGGAAAAAAGGTGAACATTTCTTTTCAAATTTTGTTGAATGTCCAGAAACAATTGATACTCCTAACTTTTCAAAAATCAATGAACAAATTTCAACGAAATATTGCAGAAACTTTCCATGGACAAAGATGAAAAAAAATGTGAATTATATATATGGTTATTATTCCTCCCCTCCTAAATCCAGGGTCTTAGGTTCTGAAATTTAAAAAATCTTCTTTTCCAGACCTAGATATGAAATACTTTTCATGTATATAAGGTTCAGAAATTGCAATAGCAAAATTTTTATGTCACATTTTGCCCTTTGGAGCAGCTTAAGTTTATTATAGTTTATAGGTACAATGTATGTAGGAAATATTGAGCATAACTGTTAAATTTCCTTGGAAAGAATTCAAACTTGTTAGAATTATTAACATTGGATGACACTTGCTTAGAATGATTAACAATGGATGGCATATAAGCTTATTTTACATTTATATATCGTACATTTTCATTAATGGACTATATTTTGCTGATTAATTTTTTTCAAATTTGAACAATTATCCCATGTAATTTATTAATAAAAATATTTTTATTTATTTTGTTACAGCTTATTCCTTTGAGGGAATCATCATCTTTGGGCTACTTGTTGTGTGCACTTGTGCCTATATGAGAAGAGTGCCTAGGCTGAAACAGTGGTTTCTCTCTGAAAAGAAAGGCCTGATGGGAGTATTCTACAAAGGTACAACACATGCCCATCATATAGTGGAAAAAAGAAAATGTGTTTCACTGATTGTAAGATTTAATAAACATAAGTTTTTACATTTCATATGAGAATTTTTGGAATAATGCATATAAGTTTTTAATTTTCTGAAGCCTGGTGAGAAGTTTCGTAAAATCTTATATGAAATGAAAACAAATTTAGGATCAAACAGTGGCAATTATTTTGTTGTGCCAATTTTCAATTCATGACCAAACATTATTTGTTATATTATGACATCACACTAAATATCTGACTGGCATGGCCAATGGTAAATGCTCTAAGGTAAATTACACTAGTGACATATATGTATGCAGAAATGTTACCAGTACATATGTCTATTTCAGTTTGGGTTAGATGAAAACAAGGGTTATTACATAATCAAGAGACCCTGGGTAATGATATTAGGGTTGTGCTGTAACATAATGTGATGAGAGACTAGTACCGTAGCACAGTGTATTCTTTTATATACAGTGAAACATGATTATGAAAAAAATGTTTTCTTCTCAAGATATGTAATCATAAACAATTATACTATTATTAAAATGAGATATGATTCATTTTAAATGACAGTATTTTTTCTATTAGAACAATGTTGTGAAATGAATATTGTGTTTATTTTTCAGCGTCTGTGATAGGAACTCGACTTCACATTCCTGTGGCGGTGATATGTTCTTTGATGGCAGTGTATGTTCTCATTCTGAGGTGATACACAACAGGAAAGATTTTATTTATTAACATTTGTACATATATAAAGACTGAGCTATCATCTATAGAAGCGCTTGGAATAGCGAGTGTCTTATATGATGAAGACTTCAATAAGTACGTACGATCTTACAGCAGCTGTGTTGTGGTAAAGGAGGAGATAGGTAAATTGTCTCCCCTTAGACTGTACACAAAAATAAGGAATACACAATCATTTTGATGCTTATGAATAGACTGAAGAAATGTACTGAGTTGTGCATTATATGGTTTAACTTCTTTGTGAACTTGGTGCTGCATCATCGCTATATGTTCCACTTTTGTACTGATATCTTTGAATTATGGTATAATACATTGTAATACATGCACCGTGCATATTAGGAATATTGAGTATATGTATTTCTAAAATTCCTTTGAATGTATTTCTTTCTATTATTGAGTCAAGTGCTTGAATTAGTTACATCCTTTCAAAAATATCTGAATTGAGCAGAGATAGTGAAGGTTATGTCAGATATTTGATTGTGTAGATGATGTTTATATTTTGTGCTAATATAAAAGGAATTGATGTCAGAGATTTAAGTATTAATGTGTGTATGAGGAAAGTAGAGAAGTGCTCAAAGGATACAAGATGTCAGCCATACAAATACATGTAAAACATGGTTTACATAGCTTTGTCAGGGACATGTGACACATTATACAAATGTCTGTCCCTGAAAAAGCTTTATACATATATAGACTTTATTTACCTGGTATATCATTGAATTAAAACAAATACTAAAAGCAAAATTATCAAACAAAGGGTGATATACATGTATACTGTAAATATTTAAAGTATTTCTCTTGTCTTGTGTCTTTCAATTGTCTTAATGCTTATCATTTGTCATTTTTAGCTCACTTGGCCTGTGAGCTTTAAGGATACCATGGCGTCAGTTGTCTGTCAATTTCTCTAGACCCCCTCCCCCCACCCAACCTTGGGCCATATTCAGCATCAGGATATAAACAAAGTCATAACTGATCATTTTTTCTAGGGTCTGGTCCCATCCCAGGACAGATAACATCTTTGAAGCCGTTGAGATTATCATCCCATAACTAAATAGCATTGCTAAGAGATTAACAACTGATCTCAGTCTCCACCCCTAGGGAATTTGAAGTTGCATCTGTGGGATGAGGCTCATCAGGGGAAAAATTTTCCTTCTAAACAAATGTACCATTTGCATTGACATATTCTGTGAGCAATACAGGCCCCTCTGGGCCTCTTGTTTCTTGAGGGTTTATTTTTGAGAGAATTTTTAGAGGAGAATATAATTCATTACCTGGGTAGTATCACATTAACAGGCATGGAATGTATGATATCATCAGCAGCTCAATATTCTGATACATTGATTCATCACATAGTCACAACATTGAAAAGTATGATTTTTTACTTAAGTTGTCACAATTTTGAACCAGAATTAAATATTAGCAATACTCCTTCATGACTAGTTATTTGTGTATAAGTTACCTCCCTTAGTCTCTATGTGACATCCATACAAATGTATATTCTTGTCTATGATTTATGGTCCTCAGTTTAGTCTGTTTATAGGTGTGAAGACCTCTTCGGGTGTAAATATTGGTTTTACTTATTAAGACAACGATGTGTTTGTGTACAAGTTTACTTTGTTACAACATACGTCAAATATTGGACCAAACTGTAAATAGGACACCAAATCATTAAAACTGAATATTAGTTACCTACTTAACTGACAGAATTTTATATTAAGTGGAAACATAAGTTGTGTAAGCACCAAAACAAGGTATTACCAATTTTGATGATATCATATGTGACAGTGTTAGAGCTGTGTGTTTGTCCAACAGTATTTGTATTTATTACAAAGTTGAGACCAAATTGCATAATTAAGAATAATGGGATAAGATAAATGGCAAGAGCTTAAACAAAGAACAGTAATCTGTACATCACAATTCTTTGTACTGTGTTTACTTAACCATTGTATTTATATATCTTTTAGAAACACCATTTACATTTGCTTTTCACATTTACTGAATATTAAGATGGGAAATACTAAGGTAGAGCCATTGCTTATTAAAGGAAAGGTGATAACATCTTGCTTGCTTAGTTATCTGATTATTTGTTAATGAACATTTTCACACAAGGCCCAAATGACATCACTCTTGATTCCTTGAATTATGAAATTGTTCAAGACATCCTGACATGGATTTTTGTTTTACAAAATCTGTCAAAAAATAATTAAGACATGCATTTCCTGTTCAAGTAAATACATAAATTGTGAAAGTGGTGTTACACATGTATATTTTCATTAATTTCACAGTACAAATGAGTAAGAAGTGCTTTTAAAATGATTGCTTAGATGAGTTGTGAAACTTCTCCATGTACAGAACCTGATAGACGGTGAAACTTCTCCATGTACAGAACCTGATAGACGGTGAAACTTCTCCATGTACAGAACCTGATAGACGGTGAAACTTCTCCATGTACAGAACCTGATAGACGGTGAAACTTCTCCATGTACAGAACCTGATAGACGGTGAAACTTCTCCATGTACAGAACCTGATAGACGGTGAAACTTCTCCATGTACAGAACCTGATAGACGGTGAAACTTCTCCATGTACAGAACCTGATAGACGGTGAAACTTCTCCATGTACAGAACCTGATAGACGGTGAAACTTCTCCATGTACAGAACCTGATAGACGGTGAAACTTCTCCATGTACAGAACCTGATAGACGGTGAAACTTCTCCATGTACAGAACCTGATAGACGGTGAAACTTCTCCATGTACAGAACCTGATAGACGGTGAAACTTCTCCATGTACAGAACCTGATAGACGGTGAAACTTCTCCATGTACAGAACCTGATAGACGGTGAAACTTCTCCATGTACAGAACCTGATAGACGGTGAAACTTCTCCATGTACAGAACCTGATAGACGGTGAAACTTCTCCATGTACAGAACCTGATAGACGGTGAAACTTCTCCATGTACAGAACCTGATAGACGGTGAAACTTCTCCATGTACAGAACCTGATAGACGGTGAAACTTCTCCATGTACAGAACCTGATAGACGGTGAAACTTCTCCATGTACAGAACCTGATAGACGGTGAAACTTCTCCATGTACAGAACCTGATAGACGGTGAAACTTCTCCATGTACAGAACCTGATAGACGGTGAAACTTCTCCATGTACAGAACCTGATAGACGGTGAAACTTCTCCATGTACAGAACCTGATAGACGGTGAAACTTCTCCATGTACAGAACCTGATAGACGGTGAAACTTCTCCATGTACAGAACCTGATAGACGGTGAAACTTCTCCATGTACAGAACCTGATAGACGGTGAAACTTCTCCATGTACAGAACCTGATAGACGTTGAAACTTCTCCATGTACAGAACCTGATAGACGGTGAAACTTCTCCATGTACAGAACCTGATAGACGGTGAAACTTCTCCATGTACAGAACCTGATAGACGGTGAAACTTCTCCATGTACAGAACCTGATAGACGGTGAAACTTTTCCATGTACAGAACCTGATAGACGGTGAAACTTCTCCATGTACAGAACCTGATAGACGGTGAAACTTCTCCATGTACAGAACCTGATAGACGGTGAAACTTCTCCTTGTACAGAACCTGATAGACGGTGAAACTTCTCCATGTACAGAACCTGATAGACGGTGAAACTTCTCCATGTACAGAACCTGATAGACGGTGAAACTTCTATGTACAGAACCTGATAGACGGTGAAACTTCTCCATGTACAGAACCTGATAGACGGTGAAACTTCTCCATGTACAGAACCTGATAGACGGTGAAACTTTTCCATGTACAGAACCTGATAGACGGTGAAACTTCTCCATGTACAGAACCTGATAGACGGTGAAACTTCTATGTACAGAACCTGATAGACGGTGAAACTTCTCCATGTACAGAACCTGATAGACGGTGAAACTTTTCCATGTACAGAACCTGATAGACGGTGAAACTTCTCCATGTACAGAACCTGATAGACGGTGAAACTTCTCCATGTACAGAACCTGATAGACGGTGAAACTTCTCCATGTACAGAACCTGATAGACGTTGAAACTTTTCCATGTACAGAACCTGATAGACGGTGAAACTTCTCCATGTACAGAACCTGATAGACGGTGAAACTTCTCCATGTACAGAACCTGATAGACGGTGAAACTTTTCCATGTACAGAACCTGATAGACGGTGAAACTTATCCATGTACAGAACCTGATAGACGGTGAAACTTCTAAAAAGGATAAAAAATTACAAACATAAATGTTTTGCAAACAGAATTATTTATTCAATAATTGAAAAACCAAATTCAGTCTAAATGCAGTAATTTAGACCACAAAATCTAACCAATGACAACAACATGTGTGACTAGGTGTATCTAAATTCACATGAGCAAATTAAAAAAAACATGTAAGTAAAGGAACTGTCTATCCATTGACAGCAACATGTGTGACTAGGTGTCTTCTAAAGTCACATGAGTAAAATCGCCATTAAAAAAACATCGTAAGTAAAGGAACTGTCTATCCATTGACAGCAACATGTGTGACTAGGTGTCTTCTAAAGTCACATGAGTAAAATTGCCATTAAAAAAACATCGTAAGTAAAGGAACTGTCTATCCATTGACAGCAACATGTGTGACTAGGTGTCTTTTAAAGTCACATGAGTAAAATTGCCATTAAAAAACCATCGTAAGTAAAGGAACTGTCTATCCATTGACAGCAACATGTGTGACTAGGTGTCTTTTAAAGTCACTAAAATTGCATTAAAAAACCACGTAAGTAAAGGAACTGTCTATCCATTGACAGCAACATGTGTGACTAGGTGTCTTCTAAAGTCACATGAGTAAAATTGCCATTAAAAAAAACATCGTAAGTAAAGGAACTGTCTATCCATTGACAGCAACATGTGTGACTAGGTGTCTTCTAAAGTCACATGAGTAAAATTGCCATTAAAAAAACATCGTAAGTAAAGGAACTGTCTATCCATTGACAGCAACATGTGTGACTAGGTGTCTTCTAAAGTCACATGAGTAAAATTGCCATTAAAAAAACATCGTAAGTAAAGGAACTGTCTATTCATGAACAGCAACATGTGTGACTAAGTGTCTTTCAAAGTCGCATAAACAAATTGAAATGGGTAAACAAAAAGTAAGTCATCAAAACTGTCTATCCTTTTGTCCGGTGACAAGATGTTTGACTGGTTGTCTGATTTTTAAATTCATTTACCGAAGAAATTTTGAATAGGCATAAAAATCCACTGGGAATATTAAATGACGGGCAACACGAGCAGTGCCACCATGCTGAAGAGGCTGTGGCAGCTTTCCAATGATATCAGTAAATGCAATATCAGATATGTCATCAACTGTTGGAAAGACAAATTTGTATGATGAGGAATTACGTCTCATAAACTTAATGTTAAAGGTTTTTTCACCAATATCATCAATGTCTCCATTGCAGCCTATTATTTGTCCTATATAAATAACTTTCGTCTTTTTGGTAAGAAATTGTACTATGACAAAATCCTCAGGGACGAGAGAATCAGCATCAGGCGGTACTATTTCCTCTTCCTCAGCAGATTCATCATATTCAAAGGAATCATCGTCATCGTCACAAATGTTTTTTTCGTTAACTTCCTCTTCTGAACTTGAATCACCTTGACTATCTTTCTGTTGAAATTCAAACCGTAATCCCTTTTTACCTTTTTTTGCTTTGTTTTGTCTCTCTTTGGTTTGCTTTCTTTTCTTTTCCTCGGCATCCTTTTTGATCTGATCTTTTACTGGTGTGTCCGTAAGAATTAGAGTTTTTCCTTTCTTTTGACCTCCTCTACCTTTCCTTGGTGGCGCCTTTGGAAAGGGACTTATTTCTTCTGGTAAAACAACTGCCTGTATTTTTTCTCTAGATATCCTATTTTCAGACGACATTGAACCAGAATCAGAACTGATTAAATTTGCTGCTAGAGTGTTGGCATGGGGAGAAGTCACAGGATCAACGTTGGCGGAAGCTGACGGAGCAAAATCAACGCTTGTCGAAATTGATGCAACAAGATCAGTGTTGGTAGATGTTGATGCAACAGGTTCAACATTTGTGGAAGTTGACACATTAGGGTTAACTGATGAGGAAGCTGAAACAACATGATCAACGATGGTTCCTTCAATGTCTTTCACGTTTTCAGTTATTGGCCTATCTGTTACGTATGAGCACATGAAATCTTCATCACTGAAGATGTTGGCGTCAAAAGGATGGATACCAGATACTTTGAATCCGGAATTGATATTCCTTGGAGTAAATGCCAGTGGGTAAGCTTTGCCGATAATCTGACTTACATTATGAATTGTGATTGGCTGGCCAGGGTGACTTATCATAAAATCATTTGCTGCCTTGGTGTAGAGGCTCTTGAAAGGACCATACACAGAACGGTCTAGGGGCTGCATTTTGTGACTACAGTGAGGCGGAAGTGTTAACATAGTAACACCATTATCCTTGGCAAGGACAATTGTTTCAATTGATATATGAGATTCATGATTATCTAATATCAACAGAACAGGACGCTCTTTCGAGCATTTGGTTGCCTTAATAAAGTGTTGCATATATACAGTAAAGTTCTCTGAGGTCATCCATCCTGATGGATTTGCTACACCAACAGTTCCAGGCGGAGCTCCATATAGCATGGATTGTTTGAAATGCACACGAGGAAATACCAAGAATGGCGGTACTGAATTCCCAGCAGCATTTATTGTGCCAAGCATTGTTACTAATGTTCCTCTTTCTCCCGAAGTGATTTTGCCAACTTGTTTTTCACTTGTACAAGCAACTACTTTAGTGTTTCCAACTTTCTGAACGGTTGTGCACCCAGTTTCATCTGAATTGTATATGTCAGTTGGACTGAAATTATGTTCCTTCATTACTTTCTCCAGGTTATCAAAGAAGTCTTTTACATTTTTCTTGTTGAAACTTGTGGCACGCGATAATCTGGTTGCTTCTGGACGACGTAAGGACAGGTTAGGATACCTTTTCATATACCCAGCAAACCAATCTTCACCAGCACGTCTGTTCTGCCTCCAAGACTCCGGAAATACTTTATCATTGCGATTTGCATATTCAAATGCTAATTCACGCACTTGCTGTCGTGTCAACCCATAGTGCATTTTAGAGGCTTTGATAAGATATTCCTGTAGAAGTATTTCTTCTTCTTCAGTAAAAACCTGACGGCAGCTGTAATTTGGTGAATATGACATAGATTCTCTGTTTCCATGTTCCCGTGCTCTCTGTACATAACGAGCAAGGTTGAAAAATGAATATCATATGACTTGCAGACATTTCTAATACTCCTTTGTTCTCCTATAACTTTCTGAACGGCCTCTTTCATTTTAGTACTGGTAGTCTTTCCAATTTTCCTATCCTCTTTATTTCTATTACGCACCATATTTTATGATGCTGAAAAAGAATATAATATGCAATTATACTAATTAACTTTTATCTGCATAGTAAGTGAAAAGTCAAAGTAATCAATGCCAAGAGTTGAGATAAAGAAAAAAACATTACTCGGGGCACACTGAATCACTATTCAAAGTGAGCCACTGTGCCCCGATTCACTGTGCCCCACATGGTCATATTTTAATCATGTGACCACCATCCTGACAAGGCTTAGTATCACATGGATAACACAACTTCGTCAACATCTCCAAACATCCATGTAACTAATGAAATATGATTGAGTGTCTATCAACTGACTATCAAGTGAGTATCTGAAAGGGATTGAGAGCACAAAAATTTACTTTTGGGGGTGTAAAACATACTTTACCTTGCATTTTTTTTTTCTGGCTCCAGATAACTGATACTGCAAGACAATTTGGCAGGAACTCTTCAATACACATATACTGATGATGTCATCAGTCTATTAACACAAACCAAATTCTATAAATGATCAATGATTCACTGTGCCCCATGATTCACTGTGCCCCGGTCTCCCCTATGCTGATATTTGAACAGTAAATATGTTCCTTCAACACTGACACCCATAACTTTATATCCGATTTTATAAGACTATATTTTACATATGTTAAAAGTCGTAGTCTAAAATGTTTTTTTTTTTTTCCTAATCTATAAAAATCATTTATAAAGACTCCCGGAAATACGAAATTACATCCAGAGAAACCCTCAAGCTAAATGCCAGTAGCCTACAACACTTACAATGGAGTTTAGTGTTACGCTTGCACCAAAAACTAGATTTCACTTAAAAAGTCTCAGCCCCATATGCTATCTTTTTTAATTCGAAAAAAATATTCATTTCGACTCCGTGAAGTAATAGTCAACCCTACATCAACCCTAAAACCAAATGGCAGTACCCTAGTACACACTTACAAAGAAGTTTACAGGTATTTTTCAACATTTCCACCAAAAGTTCTCTTCATCACGAGGTGAGCTAAAAATACGTTTTTCAAGATTTCGGACCGATAACACTTGGTCAAGGTTATCTCATGATCAGTTCAGAAAGTTTCTTCCCAATCCTGCTAGTAAAACAAGACAAGTCTATAATTGGCATTATTCAGGGAAACAAAGATTGCACAATATATTAAAAAATGGCCACATTGAACTTTTGACGACTCCAAAATAAGACGAGTGCGTTACCACTGATACATTTGATACAGTCTCTCAAATTTAGCATATTCTACGTGATAAATCAATTGACAAATTAATATGAAGATATGGGCTGTTGTGCATGATAGCCTGATAACCAGTTCACTTAAGACTGCACAGTCTTGGTTTGATAGTCTAAGGGAACTGGAGTTATTTTATTGAGTAGAAACCACAGATTATAATATAATGACTTAGTGGCATACTACATTTTACTGGTTGGCATATTTTTGTCAGAATTCGGTGGTTTTGCAAGTTCTTGAAAATGTGTCAAATATCCATTATAACTTCATTGAAACTTCTTTTTGTAAATATAATCTTAGGTCTTCACATGAAAAGTTTACATAAGGCGGACGGCCGAAACATGATGGGTATGGATATATGTACACATATATAGCCTTCCCATAAAGCTATGTACAGATGTAGAATTAGTGTAGGAGAGGTTTGAGAACAGATGGAGTCAGCTGGCGTTTATCAGCGAAGGGAGGGTATTCTATAGAACAATGGTGCACGGAAAGGACCATTTGAACGCGTCATTTGATGAATATATGTGTCCTGAAATATTGATTGTTGGATTTCTGGGTTCTTCTGTAGAAACAGCAATGAGACTGGACAATTTTACAGAGGACGTCCAGCTCGTTGTCTAGTAGAATCTAGTTATTGCACACATATCTATCTGTAAGTCGTTGAACCAGTTCAATTTTGATAATATGGTGGTGTATGTAGGGGTCCCATATGCAAGCACCATACGCAACTTTGTTTCGCACTAGTGACTGGTAAGCTTTCAAAAATTGAAGATTTTTTTTTTAAAAAAAAAGAAGAAAACCAAGGGCTTTGCTACCATTTGATGTTATATTGTCACTGTGGATGTTCCACATGCGATTACACTGAAGAGTCACCCCCTGGTACTTGATGTATGAGACAAATTCCGACACATGACCATATAGAGTAGTTATACTTAATAGGATATCTCTAGTGAGTGACTGTCAGTGAGGTACGTTTATCAGGGTGGAAGGCCATGAGCCACCTGGTCACTTCCCACCTGGCAGCAGCTCCGAGATCTAGTTGAAGCTAATCACAGCCTGCATTACTTGAGACTTCGCGATGGATAATGCTATCGTCAGCGAATAGCCAGAGTTTGCTGTAGAGGAGAAAAGGAATAGGTCCGAAGACCGTGCTCTGGTACCCCTGATCTATCTCGGACTCTATCGGAGAAGACACCATGGCCAGGGAAGCAGATATCTGGTTAAGGTGTTTGACTGGATACCATTATTTTCTACTTTGTATAGATGATGAAGATTTTATCGATCACTTGTCCAAAATTTATTATGACGAGGTCAGTTTTGTTTATTTCTGTTAGTTCGTGGATGGAATCAATAAGTTGTGAAAGTGATTTGCGGAATCCATGTTGAAGATCAGAGGGTGCTATTTGATGCAAGATGTTACATTATTGGTTATTATATATGTTCCGTGAACTTACAGCATGTCAGGTGAGACATATAGGCCAATCATTTCTCGGATTGTGCTTTTCACATTTTTTATATACTGGCACCACATTTGCCAGGTTCCATTCTTGTGGTGTTTTACCAGTGGTCATAGCTTTAGTGAATATTATAGTGAGGATTGGAGCAGTCGTCCTGAATCCTGACCCTTTGGTCGTATGACCAAACAAGTTATATAATTTTTAATACCAACTTTTATTAAACTATGTCTGTTCTAGTTTTGTACCAAAATGACAAGTTATCCAGATTTTACTTGACCTTTATCACATGAGCTATGTCCTGTCCCAGATTAATATCATAGCATATATCTTACTTTAATAACCGACTTTTATCACATTACTTCCTGTTTCAGTATTTCACATAAAACTTTAGTACAACATTAAGTACAGTAGCAGATTTTATGACTTGCTAAATACCAGGAAGGATTGATGTTTTTATGGCCCTAAACATTATATGAACGCACAGAAAGGGTTATCCTTGTCCATCCAGTTCCAATGTAAAATCTTGGGAAATATCTCGACAGCTTTAGTTCATATCTACACACATTGGTTAATAAAGTTCATCAAAATATCCTACACCAGATCAGATTCTGGATTATTAGGGACAGTATTTATGTGTTCACATTATCTAGTTTCTTCTATGCTCATGAATGTAAAATATCTCTTACTTAAAATGGTAAGTTTGTTCTCAAATATTTGTCATCTTACTACAATTGGTCATGTTTTTGTGTGATGTCAACTCATTCAGTTCAAACTCCAATTTATTTTCACACACATGATTATTTTACAGTAACTCAAATGGGTTCAACAATATTTTATTTTGTTTGGACTAACGGAAGATTTAAAATACTTTCAATGAACACATTATCATTCAAACAGTATCATTTTTGTAAGTTTTCAAAAAGTTGTAAGACAGAATCAATCTTTGTAAAACTCTTTTATTTGATTCTACTCTGCGTAGCACATGGATGTAGCAATACATGTACATACCGTATCTATAACAAACACCCTTAGTTAATTACCGTGCTACACATAAATGTGAAAAAGAATCTTTTTACCACCTCTACCCTAAAAGTTCACTAAAAAATTTTTTTCATTCTAGATAAAAGTTATTTTTATATTCTATAGCTTAAAAAAGCCAAAATATATCAAAAATGTTTTAAAAGTTGATGCTAATTTGAGTATTGATAATTTTTGGTATGTAGGTAGTGTCTTGTCATATCACATCCAAACTACTAGTAAGGTGATTATAAACACAAGGAGTCTTTTTTCTTTAAACTTTCAGTATTATTTCTCATGCCCTCAATTACAAAATAACAAAAGTTATTAACTATTTGAATTAAAATTTCTGTAAAAAAAAGAAACAAACATGTTTCAATCAAACAACCCTAACGTTATTATTTCTTGTAACTTAACCAAATAAGTTAGCTCTACATCACATTTCCAAATATGCTAGACTCAAATGAGCTAAAAATTCATGAATGTTTGTATTGAATGACATTACAATTAAATTCTCACAAATAAAACAAATAATGACATTATCCATCCTCCATGAAAACTCTCTTTGATTTTATACATAATTACACAATAACTAGCTAAAAATTACCATACAAAATTAAATTATAAAGTCCATCCAACAGCCTTGACAAAATACAATCCGTGAATTTCTATTCTTACTGTATTCAAGTATGGCAGATAATTTTACACTTATCTTGTTCAACAAGATGTCTTCAGTATAAGTCTAGATCAATGTTCCACATATTAACCTGATCCTTATTTAACAATTATATAAAGCAAAATTTACCTTATAATAATCCTTCTCTCTGTAGGTAAAGTAAAAAACAATTCTAATACAACTGAATACCATGAAGATATTTCATTGAAGGCTGGAATTTCAAGATGCATTACTCCAACAATCCCAATCATCCCATTCAATGTAAAACATCCCAGTAAAAAGGTCACATTAATAAGTAACAAAGAGTTTATAACTATTTTTCATTTTATTGTAAAAGTGTGTTAAATGTTCTACAACGAACCAGACTTTTACAACTTCTGGAATTTGTATTTACCAGGTATCAATAATGTGGTGACAACTTCTAAATTTAGAGTGCCATTTGGTCTCAAAAACAAAAATAAACTTGTTTTGTACATAAAATACGATACAGTAAATATGTGGTAAAAATCTTCAGGAAAATAAAAGTTCCATATACATGTACATACTTTCTATACATTCCTTAGCTATATTAGTAAATACCAAACAAAGCCAACTTAATCACTCCCTCTCTCTTACAATGTTTTTTATAAAATAAAAATTTTAAAACATACATCTTACTTTCAAAATAATAATAAGAGCTTAAATGAATATTTAAAACTTCAAGAAGCATCTCTGCTACAATATCCTGTTTGGATTTTCCATATTTTTATAAAATACAAAAAATCACAAATTTAGTGTTCTTTAAATACACATGTACAAATTTAGTGTTCTTTAAATGTTCAGCAGATATTATTTTATTATGAAATATCTGCATAACGTCATAAATTCCTTATAGTGTGCACAAGAAACTATGATAATGCGGCTTTTATAAGGTTGACAGTTCTTCACTAAGACTGGTTATACATGGGCTCTGCTTTACTTCTCTTCTGACGTTTCTTTAGAATAGGATTATCAGTCTCATCCAAGTCTTTGATCTGGCACATTTCGTAGTCCACTCTCATTGTCGCCAAAGCATTGGTCATTTCCTCCTGCAATATTTAATTGTCAGTGATATCAATGTAACTATATGGAAGCAAGTTAAAAACCAATGTATAAATAGGTCTGACGGTAACAATATACACAGGCTGTCTCTTTACATAAAACAATTATAGCAGAAGATCTAGCCATTATTGTTGTCATGAAATTAAGATTTTTTTCCCCTTTCACAGCTGTTGAAAAGATGCCTTTCCTTTTCTGTTAGATTATCATAGTGATGAACATGCAATCATTTTGTCAATTCATTTGAAAAGAAAATCTTCTGAGTTTATTCAACATCACATGCTAATATAAAATTCACACAAGGAAAAACTGTGATGTAAAACCAACTCACCTGTACTTCTGCCCACATTTCCATATCTTCCTTTAGGATCGCAGCTGAACAGAGAGGTGTCTGGGGCACAGTGATGTGATCCTGTGTAATAACAATTGACATTTATATTTCAAATGATACAAGAAAGCTACAAAAATTATATTCAATTTTGGTCAAAAATAATTGGGGGGTTCCCAAGGGGGCCCCAACAAATAACAATTGCATTCATTAGACCTTGATGTGAATGCCACAGTGACCTAAATTCAGTGGACAATTACATTTTGGTGATGCAGATATGTTTCAAGAATCATAAAGAAATCTAACAGACAGACATCTGTTCTATAGGTCTAACCACAATACAAATAGGACCTATATCCATCTGTTCTATAGGTCTAACCACTATATAAATAGGACCTATATCCATCTGTTCTATAGGTCTAACCACTATATAAATAGGACCTACAGACATCTGTTCTATAGGTCTAACCACTATATAAATAGGACTTACAGACATCTGTTCTATAGGTCTAACCACTATATAAATAGGACTTACAGACATCTGTTCTATAGGTCTAACCACTATATAAATAGGACTTACAGACATCTGTTCTATAGGTCTAACCACTATATAAATAGGACCTACAGACATCTGTAACCACTTTCTATAGGTCTAACCACTATATAAATAGGACTTACAGACATCTGTTCTATAGGTCTAACCACTATATAAATAGGACTTACAGACATCTGTTCTTTAGGTCTAACCACTATATAAATAGGACCTACAGACATCTGTTCTATAGGTCTAACCACTATATAAATAGGACCTACAGACATCTGTTCTATAGGTCTAACCACTATATAAATAGGACCTACAGACATCTGTTCTATAGGTCTAACCACATACAGACATCTGTTCTATAGGTCTAACCACTATATAAATAGGACTTACAGACATCTGTTCTATAGGTCTAACCACTATATAAATAGGACTTACAGACATCTGTTCTATAGGTCTAACCACTATATAAATAGGACTTACAGACATCTGTTCTATAGGTCTAACCACTATATATAAATAGGACTATAGGTCTAACCACTATATATAGGACATCTGTTCTATAGGTCTAACCACTATATAAATAGGACTTACAGACATCTGTTCTATAGGTCTAACCACAATATAAATAGGACTTACAGACAACTGTTCTATAGGTCTAACCACTATATAAATAGGACTTACAGACATCTGTTCTATAGGTCTAACCACTATATAAATAGGACTTACAGACATCTGTTCTATAGGTCTAACCACTATATATAGGATAGGACATCTGTTCTATAGGTCTAACCACTATATAAATAGGACCATCTGTTCTATATACTATATAAATAGGACTTACAGACATCTGTTCTATAGGTCTAACCACTATATAAATAGGACTTACAGACATCTGTTCTATAGGTCTAACCACTATATAAATAGGACCTACAGACATCTGTTCTATAGGTCTAACCACTATATAAATAGGACTTACAGACATCTGTTCTATAGGTCTAACCACAATATAAATAGGACCTATATCCATCTGTTCTATAGGTCTAACCACTATATAAATAGGTCTAACCACTATATAAACTATAGGTCTAACCACAGACATCTGTTCTATAGGTCTAACCACTATATAAATAGGACTTACAGACATCTGTTCTATAGGTCTAACCACTATATAAATAGGACTTACAGACATCTGTTCTATAGGTCTAACCACTATAGACATCTGTTCTATAGGTCTAACCACTATATAAATAGGACTTACAGACATCTGTTCTATAGGTCTAACCACTATATAAATAGGACTTACAGACATCTGTTCTATAGGTCTAACCACTATATAAATAGGACTTACAGACATCTGTTCTATAGGTCTAACCACTATATAAATAGGACTTACAGACATCTGTTCTATAGGTCTAACCACTATATAAATAGGACTTACAGACATCTGTTCTATAGGTCTAACCACTATATAAATAGGACCTATATCCATCTGTTCTATAGGTCTAACCACTATATAAATAGGACTTACAGACATCTGTTCTATAGGTCTAACCACTATATAAATAGGAGTTACAGACATCTGTTCTATAGGTCTAACCACTATATAAATAGGACTTACAGACATCTGTTCTATAGGTCTAACCACTATATAAATAGGACATACAGACATCTGTTCTATAGGTCTAACCACTATATAAATAGGACCTATACAGACATCTGTTCTATAGGTCTAACCACTATATAAATAGGACTATATACTATATAAATAGACATCTGTTCTATAGGTCTAACCACTATATAAATAGGACTTATAGACATCTGTTCTATAGGTCTAACCACTATATAAATAGGACCTATATCAGACATCTGTTCTATAGGTCTAACCACTATATAAATATATAATAGGTCTAACCACTATATAAATAGGACTTACAGACATCTGTTCTATAGGTCTAACCACTATATAAATAACTATATAAATAGGACTTACAGACATCTGTTCTATATAACCACTATATAAATAGGACTATAGGACTATATAAATACAGACATCTGTTCTATAGGTCTAACCACTATATATATAAATAGGACACTATATCCATCTGTTCTATAGGTCTAACCACTATATATATAAATAGGTCTAACCACCTATATCAGACATCTGTTCTATAGGTCTAACCACTATATAAATAGGACCTACAGACATCTGTTCTATAGGTCTAACCACTATATAAATAGGACTTACAGACATCTGTTCTATAGGTCTAACCACTATATAAATAGGACCTATATCCATCTGTTCTATAGGTCTAACCACTATATAAATAGGACCTATATCCATCTGTTCTATAGGTCTAACCACTATATAAATAGGACCTACAGACATCTGTTCTATAGGTCTAACCACTATATAAATAGGACCTACAGACATCTGTTCTATAGGTCTAACCACTATATAAATAGGACTTACAGACATCTGTTCTATAGGTCTAACCACTATATAAATAGGACTACATACATAGGACCTATATCCATCTGTTCTATAGGTCTAACCACTATATAAATAGGACCTACAGACATCTGTTCTATAGGTCTAACCACTATATAAATAGGACTTACAGACATCTGTTCTATAGGTCTAACCACTATATAAATAGGACCTACAGACATCTGTTCTATAGGTCTAACCACTATATAAATAGGACTTACAGATATCCATTTGTTCCTCATGACTTGTTCTATTGTCAACCTGTCTTCTGGCACAGTTTTTAATAATCCTTGTATTAATTCTTTTGCTGCAAAATGATTTGGAAAGGTGTATAACTGATAATAACAGATCTGATAAACTTTTATACACAATCATGATGATAATGTTCAAAATACAATTACTGAAATGAAAGAGAAAGACTAACAGCTCTGTTATTCTGGTAAAACATGTTCCTGTCTCTAGACTCCTCAATTTATCACTTCCATTCACTTTGAAAAAAATTGAAAACAGTTTGATTTTGGTACTGAACAGAAAAAGGAAATGGCCTACATGTGGCCATCTTGAATTTTGGCTTCAAAAGTTAGTTATCACTATTTCTTCAGAAAAACTGCATAGGTCTTTTTCAACTTTCATGCATAGGTTCCTCTTGGTCCCTAGTTGTACCTGTTTGAGGTAGAGACTGATCAAAAAAACAAAATGACTGACAGGCAGCCATCTTTTATTTCACCTAGTAAAGTTTGTTATCCCTATTTCTTAACTAGTACTGAATTGATCTCCCTGAAAATTTCAGATGTATGATAACTTCTGTCTCTACTTATTTCCACACTATTTCAGGAGACAACTATTTTCCTTCAGAAAGCACACATTCTCATTAGGGGTAATGACCCAATGTTCTGAACCACAATCAGTAGCATTAGAAGTTGTATCCAGAACATGTTATACTGATATTTCAACGTTAAAGATTTTTCAATTAAAAAAATTCAGCATTTTTTTTTATAATTACAGTGAGAAAAATTTGATATGATTTAATGTCAATGTAACTTCACCATGAAAATCATACCGTCTTTTGATACATTTTTCCATTCTGAACTTGGAAACTCATACTGTCCATTTCTGATTCTCTTCTTCATACCGGGTGAAATAGCTGCTCCATGATTACTGTAGAATGGTGGGTACCCACACAATCTGAAAACAAATTACAGTCCAGATACTTCTGTCACAATCACTTTTTCAAAATATAAATTTTCCATCGATACATTAGAACTTATCAAAATTAAACAACTGTTTCTTGCAAATTGTTTCTATTTACAAACAAAGTTAACAAGGTATAATTACCAACAGCATGTCACATAATTGATACAGCATTGAAGTTACACCTGAACTACAAACTAATACACTACACATCCAGTAATTTGATTTTGTACCATAAAGACTAATTTCAAATCACAAAACTTTTCTCAGATGGTAGCAATATAATTAAACATATATACTGTAAACATACATATGAATGACGAAATAAATTCTGATTCTATACGTATTTGTTCAATTCCACATTTTTTTTGAAATGTATAGTGACCATTTAATATCTCTGAAACTTCTCTCATCACCAAACTCTTCATATTACAAAATCTAATACAAATATGACTAAGATTAGACCCCTGAACTTGCTCCCTTCTCATCCTTTTCCAATCCCACAATAAATGGACAAGATGGGTGAAAAACTCTCAACTGTATTTTCCTGGGGAATATTACTTACAATATATACATGATTACACCTAAGGACCACATATCACAGGATTTGTCGTACTTTTCTGGACCCAGTACCTCTGGGGCTGAAATGAAACAGAAAAACCATTTACTGTAACCTATGATAGCTTCAACACAAATGAAGCTTTAAAGCAATTTGTAATTATCTTCAATTTACATAAGCCATAATAAACACCTTTATAGGTCAATAATATTTTATACCTCCATATTATTATCAACTTAAAAAGAGTTTTTTTGTTTTGTAACATGATTGTATCTCTTTTTGTAAACTTTTATCAAACCAATGCAATTTTTTTCCATTTCAAATATCAATACTTGATTCATGACAACCCTTTCCATTTAGAAAAAAACACTTGTCCATTGATGGTTTTTCAACATTATTACAGGGCATCGTTACTTACCAACATAGTAGGGTGTGTAACAGGGAGTTTGTAACATCTTAAAATCTGTTGTGATTGCTTTGGCAAAACCAAAATCTGTTAATTTCAGTGTTCCATTTACAGTTTTGTCGGAGTAAAGTAAGTTTTCAGGCTGAAAATCAAATCATATGTTTAAGTATAAACAAGTGAAGCCTTGAAGTAAAGCATTGTCCCCTACGCCCAGCTGTCAGTAAGTAAATCCAAACAGACATATAACAGCTATTTTATTGTCCCCCAACTCCCAACTGTCAGTAAGTAAATCCAAACAGACGTGTAACAGCTATTTTTATCTTTTACATGCAGTAACAATTATATTTTGTTGTAGCTCCTCCTTGTCTTTTATTGTTGATGTTGTGATTTTTACATTTTTGACTGTTTCCATGTTAACATAAAAATATCATCAAACAAATTAAGATATGTTAAGATAAGCAGTTTAAAGTTGTATCTCATAAAAGCTATTGATCAGCTGATGGTTTTCGAGTTGCAGCCAAAAAAGAGAATGCAAATATTTTTTTCTCATATTTCCGACTAGTTTCCATGGTTAAAAAACACATAAAAAACAAAATTCTCAAATAGCAGAAAACAAGTTGTAGTCTCGGAAAGCTTACAACTTAATTCATATTTTCATTTCTGCAACACATGGAAAAAGGCACAGCTTGAAGTACAAGTCTGATATATGCACTGGTATTTTTTAAATCAATCTGTCAGGCTCCAAAAAATGCAGATTCACAGGGATAAATTTGAAACAAAATTTGTATGTGTGTTTTTTGACAGCTTACTTTCTTGTACAATTATTTTGTATTCATCTTAATGGCTTCCTAGATTTCAACCTTGTGCATTTTAAATGACTTACCTTTAAATCTCTATGGGCAATTTCCATGGAATGTAGGTAGTGGATGGCTTTAGCGATGTCTCGTATGATAGCAGCTGCCTCTGTTTAAAGTTTTAAAAGGCAAAGGTGTAAAAGACAGAGGTCAAAAAAGGAAATCAGAAAATGTATAACCTTCAGCAATGTATATAAGAGCACAACATAATCTATTTTACTGTACATAATTACTAGGCATTGATATAAAATTTTCTGTTAAATAATTCATAAGGCTACGGCAGATAATTTTCAATTTTGCATTATTGGGTTTCAAACATGATACTCTACCAGTTCAAATTATTGTAATCAATGAGTTATGTAACACAATGTACTATGTATCTACATACATATGGTATATTGCTAAAACTTAAGTATCTACACTAGATTATTCTCTCCTGCAGAATTATCGGAATCACAGGTACAATGTACATTTAAATTCACAATGATTCATTTTGCTTTTATTCCATAGAGACATGTATTCTAAACTAAACAGATACCTCTCTCTGTGAATGCTGAATCAGCTCTTTCTTGTATTTTGTTAAAGAGTTCTCCACCTTCCATACTATAAAACAAAGCAATGTATATGTAATGACATAGGATAGAAACAAAATATAGACCTCACTTTGAAACTGGCATTACCAACATATTTTCTGTCTCTTTGGCCATTGGGTCTGGGAAAATTGTAAGTAATTATCTAATGATTATCATTTTAAAAAAATATTGAGTATTTTATAGATGTATATTAGATACATCATAAATTCCTAAACTTTTCTATGAAATTTTAAACTTTGAAGGAAGATAGGACTGTATAGCAAGGACGCATCATTTATTTTAAGGAATTTACGTCAATCCTGGCCTTTCCACAGATGAATATATACTTTAAACTATCACAGAGTTGTTGTGATGCAATCTTACCATTCCATGACAACCAAAAGGCACTTCTGACCACTGTATGCATTCTCATACACATCTTTAATGGCTACTATGTGTTTACAGCCTGATGCTCTCCAGTGGAGATCCACCTCCCTTCGTGCCTTTGGCACATCTCTCAATACCTACAAAGCATAAATTAAACATTACAATAACAGTCAGATTCTATAAGTTCCTATAGTAACAGACTGATTACCTTACTTTGTTTTGTTTAGTTAATGATTAAGAACTTATTAGTGATAGACTCACTGATTGTAATAGTCTGAATATTTTGACTAACTATCTGTGATTTTATTTTTGTCAACATTTAACCCTTTCGGCACCGATTATCTCTTACAATGTACAGCTCAGTGCCAAATATTTTCTGAAAAACATCCGAAAAAAAGGCAGCATTACTGAAACATGCATATCTTGGCTAATAATAAAGATATAAAAATTGTCAGCCAAAGTTGCCTATGGAGGCCTGTCTGCATGTCGACTTTAGTTGTCTACAGCGCCGAACGTGTAAATACACACTACAGTTATCAGATTAAAAAAAAAAAAAACTTCCAATCACTGCAGCTGCATTAATATTCTATTTAAGGAAATGTTACTGGTGTGCATATACTTCCTGGAAGTTTTACCGGTTTCCCAAGGGACATAACTACTTTATTATGGTCATCACAGAATTGGCAGTCTTTTCATTTATCATTACCACCGTGATGTATTCCAATGGTTCACAGATACTGTATATTTCTATGAAAACCAGAACTTTTGGATTTTAGAGATAAAAGAGTTGCACAATTGTTTTCTTAAAGTACATTTCAAACCATCATTTTCTGTGGAAACAACTATACTACATCATCATCAATGTATTTCAAACTGAAAACACGCAGTGATGAAATCGGAACGGACCATTATCAGAATGAATATTCGAACTGTTGAATTAAATTATTATCAATGAAAACAAAAACATTTTTCACTGAGTGTGGGCGTGACTTTCGGTTACTATAACACCATATATAATTGCCTGGTTGTTACAAAAAAGTAATTGGGTAATAATCTTCTCTTTCGATAATCCCTGTGGATACAACCAGGAAAATCCTGTGAAACTAGTTGTTCTATATATATATTCATATCCTGTTTGGTATCATACAGAACATTTCCTACCTTTAATGCACACTTCTGATTCGTTTTTTTAGAGAAACATTCAACAACTTTCCCGTTTATTCCGAGTCCTAAAACGGCCCCAGTTATTCTGTAATCGTCACTAATCGGGTACTTTTTTGGCTTTAAATTCCTAGCTTCGTTGTCTCCCATCATCTTTTTTCTGTATAGCCAGTGCACTAAACAACGTGATTCTCCTAAAACGAAGGAGAAACTATAGGTTGTCTGTCTGTGCGTCGTCGGAAGTGACGTTTTGTGCTTAAAATAGGAATCCCGAACAGCGGTATTTCGTCATTTCCACCAGCTTTAATGCAATCGTACTCAATTATCCTGAATCGGCACGAAAAAAATCATATTTGAAAATATAAACATATGTTTATTACATTAGTCCTTGTACAGTTATTTTTTGTTTATTTTTGTTTTGTGAAAGTAATTTAGAGTATACTGAAGTACAAACAACAAATGAAATCATATTACAATGATATTTTTAAAGTCCCGATAAACAATAAAAGTCTGTGAATCTGCAATTTAATAAGAATAAATATTTTGAAACAAATAACAAAAAGTCTGTTAATATTAATCAAAGCTTTGCTGAAAAGTTCTAATTATTTTTTTTCACCGGGACTACAACAAGACTATTAAACGAAGGGAGGCAATCTGATCAGTTTTCTAATGCGAGCACCTGTTGAAGAAATAGTTCTCTAATTTGTGATCAACATGTTGATATACACAGGTTATAAACACAATTTGGAAATCTTTTTGTATCTAAACAGTTGAATGTTATTCGCTGCAAGATGTCAAGGTTGTTGATATTTCAGTGTTCTCTGTGTTGTGTGTAATTGTACTATATGGCGTATGAATACATCTAAAGTAATGATATGAAAATGGCGACGCCAGCGGCCTGAGGAATTTTGCGTGTATTCCAGAAAATACATCGAGTTTACATTACACATTTCAAGATGAAACGTATGCAAGATCGCGAAAATTCTCCCCGGAGTAAAAGATCGCGCTCAGGTTATCCTGGACTTGATCATGAATCCTCTAGAGACAGGATGTCCCCAGACATGGACAGGCGAGATAGCCGGGGACGCGAGCCCAAACCAAAACCTTACAGAGATTTTGATCATGATCTTGGACCAATGCCTAGAGGTAACAAATATCATGATAGGATGGGGGACGGTTTTGGACCTGCAAGATCGGAAGTGAGAGGACCAGAATACAGATCTTTGTGTTTAAGTAACATTTCTAGTAAAATACCTGACGCTGTTTTGAAAGATAATTTATACCACGAATTTAAGAAATTTGGCGAATTTAATGTGAACGTTACATTTACGGGGGATCAGAGAGTTGCGTACATCAACTTTCGTTACCCTGAAGATGCTAGAGCTGCAAAACACAACAAATCAAAATTGATTGTATTTGACCGACCAGTCCGTGTTGATCCCGTTTTCCATAGACGCCGTAGTAGTAGTCCTAATACTGACATGGGTCGAGATTATGGAGGCCCCAGCAAAGGGTATGGACACAACTCTCCACCCATGCAATATGGAGGAATGCGTGGGGATGGTATGGGAAGAGGAGGTGGTAACAGACGTCAGAATATGGGACGTGGATATTTCACAAACCAAGACGATATGCCTCCACCAATGAGATCAATGGACAGGGATAATTATCAACCACAGCATTTTCATAAAGAAGGTGGTGTAAGGAAAGCACCAAATGAAAAGTTCCCCTATCACTTGGATCATATAAATCCAGAAGATGATATTAAGGCAACCAGAACACTGTTTGTTGGTAATCTGGATTACAACATTGACCTAATGGAATTGCGACAGATTTTTGAGAGATATGGTGCTATTGAAGATATTGATGTGAAGAGACCACAGAGAGGACAAGGAAATGCTTATGCATTTCTGAAATACATGAACCTGGATTGTGCCCATCGAGCAAAAGTAGAGATGTCTGGACAGTACATTGGAAGATTTCAGTGCAAAATAGGTTATGGAAAAGTAACTCCTACTACATGTTTGTGGGTTGGAGGCTTAGGACCTTGGGTGACTCATCAAGCATTAGAACGTGAATTTGATAGATTTGGTGTAATTGATAGGATTGAGTGGCCACATAGTAAAAATTATGCATATGTGTTGTATGACAACATTGATGCTGCTACAGCTGCCTGCCAAGAAATGAGAGGATTTCCTTTGGGGGATTCAAATAGAAGATTAAGGGTTGATTTTGCAGATGTAAGTCATATCCAAAGTTCACCAAGACCAAACGATCCACCATCTCCTGATGGTAGAGACATGGGTAGAAATCCACAGTGGCGTCCACCTTATGATGGTCCAGGTGAACCATCACATCGAGATGACTGGCCAATGGATGACAGGGGCCCAAATCAGCGCAATTTAGACCCAAGAGACAACAACCAGAGAGACAGAGGAAGAGATATGTGGGAGGGGGGTGACAGAAATCGCCGTCCAAGAACACCAGATGAGTTTATGGATCGACAACATAGACGTTCAAAAAGCCAAGAGAACAAGTATGACCAAAAGGATCGTGATGTAGGAAGGAACAGAGACAATGGACGCCGTCCGATGCATTCGCAAGAAAGAGATTTTAGTGATGGTGATCGTGGTGATTCAAGACGTTTTGATGACCGGAGAGTTTCCCAAGGGGATAAAGAAACTGAAAAAGCATTAGAGATGGTAGAAAATATAGCAGATATGTCAAAGTGTTTACCAGCAGCATGGAATGGAGCTCTGATTCTGAAGAGTAGTGCCTTTCCTGCAAGGATGCATGTGGTTGGTGGTAATGTGACTTTGGTTGACAACATGATGAGAGACCCATCTACGACAGAAACACCTGTCCTCAAAGTCAAGCAACGACTTAGACTAGATCAGCCAAAATTGGAAGATGTTGGCCGCAGAGTGACCGGAGCTGGACCTCGTGGTCACTGCATTCTTCTAGCATTGAGTGGTTCTCTTCAAAATTATGAAGACACTTCAGTTCAGCAAAGACCTCTGAAAAATTTGGTGACATATCTACGACAGAAAGATGCAGCTGGTGTGATTTCTCTTCCAAATTATGACTCAAAAGACAAGGACAATGTTGGTGTGCTATATGCATTTCCTCCTTGTCAGTTTGGGTATGACTATCTCATGACCAAGGCACCTAGACTTCCTCCAGAGCCCGCAGTTCAAGATGACTACATGGTCATTGTTGTGATTAGAGGAGCTGCATAGCTTTATCACCCAGTTAGTTATAAGTTTAGTGTCTCAATCATTTATAACATTAGAAATTTAGGGGGACTGTCATTCATGTCATAAACTTAATGTAGACTTTTTTTTGATGCTGAACTGGTACTTATAAACTAATGAATGAAATGTTATATTGCAGATGTGTAAAATGTAAAAGAGTACATTAATTTACTTTTTTATTTCAATTTTTACATATACGTTGTTATGTAGTTTTAAAAAATCTTCAATTGACCAATATACGATTGTATTACCTTAACATTTTTAAGGTAAATGAAACAAAATCACATTGTAAACCACTGACCGAGTTTGTAATTGTGTATTGTAATGAAAAATATTTTGTCACCCTTTTTGGTTTGACATCTGTTACTGTTATATAGATGATATGGAATTTATTTATTTAGTATAATGAGTAAACAAATGTGAGGGCCGCAGTTAATACAATTAAACCTTTTTTATTTACCATTGACAGGAAGATTTCATAACTTAATATGGCATATTTCATTGGTTGAATTAAATGATTTCAAATTAACTGTTCTATACATGTACATCTGATGGTCAAAATATGCAGTTATGATTATGAATAAGAATGTTATTTTTGATTTTAACTTTTTCCGATCAGATAATCTTATTTTGTATCGTTACGACAATCATGAAATCATGCTACAACCATTAACGTTTATCAATTTGTACATGTCTTTTTGGTCGTTTTTGTTTGATAACATCACATACGAAGAAAAAAATTCTTTTGGTAATTTTTGAGGTTTTGAAAAATACATTTGACAGAAGCCTTAAAATGGACCATACTTTGTTGCATTAATGTTTTCAAAGCAATTACTTTTTCTATTTTATCTCGTCCTTAAAAATAGTTTATAATAGAACCAGTTCCAAATTACAAGTTTTACATTATATTATTTTCTACAGTAAAATCTTTTTCTTTTAGGATGAACTGTGTTTAAAAAGATTTAAGTTAATATAGATTTGTATGTTAGGTGTTTGTCTCATTGTTTTGTGTATGCATACAGTTATCAGGACATCCAGTACATCCTTGACTGAAAGCATGCTTTTAACTCGTCAAAATTTGTCTTTATCCTTTATATTTGAGAAACACTCCAAATTTTAGGAAAATATTGTATTGCTCAAAAATATTTTAAAAACGAGAAGTCAATATAAAACTAGTAATGGATAATCAGCTGAACTCAATATGACAACATTTTAAAAGGTTTCATGGAGTCTGATATCGGTAATGTATTTGAAGCTGTAGAAAATTGCTTTTGTAATGTTTGTTCCAAATTCTGCTACATATATTCATTATTGCATATATTCAATGATGACATGATTTAATGGCATTTTCTAAACACTTTGAACATTATGATGGATGTATGATATTTTGTAAAATTATTCCATAAAGTAGGTCAACCTGTTGTCAACGACTGTAGCTGTCTCCCAGAAGATTCTCTAGCACAGCCTCTGCTGTAGAAAAGCTGTAAGTGATACTTCCAAATTTAAAAGAAGAAGGAAAAACAAATTGGATTCATGTATTAACATAAAAATATTATTAGATTAATGCCATTTTAAATATTTTCGATTTGGTACTCACTTTATAGTTAATATACTTTCTTTTGATTTTAAGACATACACATTAAGTATAGCAAAACTTCACCAGCAAAGTTTTTTGTAATGATAATTCAAATACTGCATTTATCAGACTGTTAGCACATTTGTTTGGTGACAAGCTCACCAATATCTGATATTAATCAATAAAATCACAAGCAGTGGTCCATTGTCTTGTAATAAGCCCCTCCCAAAGATTGAACCCCCAGTCCCCCTAGTCACTCATCAAAGAATATATACATGGCAATGCATGACTCAAATTTCTGATAAATGTTGTACTTCTTGACTAAACATTACTGCAATATATATTCACACATGTACTTCTGTACCTGTTTTAAATGGGAAATGATGTTAAAAAAAACTTTTAACTTACAGAATCCTTTTGACTTTTTTCAGGGTGCAGTTTGTTTGGATACAACCTACAAAGTCACAGTGAAGGAGTGTGTGAAAGCTCAACAGTTACAAAATTATTTCAGTGGTCTGCCATCAAGTGTGATGTTTGGAAGTGTCCTAATTTGTGCTTGGTGTACACATTTTGTCTTGTGTAGCACATATATCATCATAAGTTATCTTCGGACTCTGTGATACTTACAAGAGTATCTAGGCAGAAATACAACCATCTTCCACGAAACAGACATTTTAGTGTTTACCAGATTCCAAGACATTTCTTTAAGAATTGATGACAGTCCTCAGAGGTTTCTGAGACATGCACACCAGCATTCTAATGAAGAAGTCATATTTTGTGTTTTAGTTATTCACTTATTGTGATGAAGTACATTGTGTTTTGAAGATGAAGTGTTTCATATTCATGATCAACATATTGTGTATTTGTGTTGAAAAGTTTCTTCAGTGATCTTAAAATGTATGTCGTGCCCCATGCCTGTGCCAAGAATTTAGCTCAGCAACAAGATTCCTTGCTTGTGTTTTATAGTTCTTACGGAGTGAAAAGGAAATTGTGTAGAGTAGTAACAAGTGGGCTGTTGAAAATTAATTCTCAGTTAAAAAGGGAGCTGATTTTAAAAATTCAACCATTTTAAGTGAGATTTGGAAGTGCACCTTCAGATTTTGGCAACATTTTGGAAGTTAAAAATAGCTTTTATTTTCCAAGATGGATTCCCAAATTTTGCTTCTAATTTTGGAGAATTTTGACATCCTTTTAAATGTTTTATGTGAAAATATTTTAATGGAAAAAGGAAGTGATTCTTGAGGGCGGTTGAAATTGGCAGTGTCGATCAAAAAGTATTTTTTATTCCAAACAATTTATTTGTGTAAATAATTTTACAACAGTCTCTTTGGTGACAAAGGAACCCCCATGCCTGGAGGTTATGAATCGAGGAATTCCATTGAAATCCTTGGAGATTTGTGTTTGTGCATACAAAGTCATGTATAAAAATTCAAATGTGTACAGATTTTGTGAAAAGTGTATATTTACATAAAAGGTGATCATCGTGTGCATTTCATGAAAAACCATTGTACGTGTAGATCGGAGGAAATGTCTTGGCGGTGAAAAATTATTCAACTTGGTGTCAATATGTGATGTCTCTGTGTAATAATGGCATGTATTGTACAATTTTAGGATAGAATAAACATCAATTACACGAGGTACAGGTATCCTGATTCATTTCCAAAGTGTCCCAGCAATGCTGTATTACAACGTCCTATCAAAATTCCAGTGTTACTCAAGTATGCTGTAGCAGCAAGCTGAATGTTGTGAACTTCATCAAGAATACAGTGTATTTGTGTTCATCTGAATACAAGTGCTTGTGTTTGGAAGTTTATAATTCTACAAAAATGTTTGGTATAATTGTGTAAGGTTTGAGGGGAAAATGTGCTCTCCATTCGAAATCCATGGATGGGATTGCGGATCAAATTCTTGAGGAAATTTCAAAGGGTCCGTGTATTTTCTAAGGTTTTACATTTATGAAGCTAGTGCAAGATTGGTTCAGCAAAGCTGGCTGGTGCAGTGCTTAGAATGAATTTCTCCTCATCTGGAAGAGCTGTAAAACATCTGAAACGCTCTAGCAAATGTTCAATTCTAGCCGCAGTGCCTTCGATATTGTTATATCAGATTCCCCTGCTTTTCATGGATGCGATCTTTCCCTGCTCTACCGTAGTGTACATTTTAGACAGAGTTGAGTGCTTTATACAAATTTCACCTGAAAACTAAATCGGCAACATCTACTCATGGGAGTAGGAATCCGGATGTCTTCCAGTTCTTGCCGGCTGTGCTTTTTGGAATTCTTTTTTTAGACGGAATTTTGTGATCTCCGACTGCTTTAAATGACATAGTTCTAGGGAAACAACAGCATGATATTTTTTTCAAAAATCAAAATATCTTGAGTTTCAGTTAATCAAATTTATAGCACAGGGGTTTGTAATGATCTGGCACATGGCTTCTATAAAAAAAATCATTTAATTTCTGGAAATGTTTTCAACATGTCTGGGTTAATTTCCTACGTTATGTAAGTGAAGCACCCCACTTGGAACACCTGTAAAGGTATATGCATTAGTAATGCTGGAGAAGCTATAAGGCTCCCTTTTGGTATTTATTTTAAATAACTAGAAAGAAATCTCTTGTTTAAAAAAAGATTTTAACATAGAAGTGTAAATGATTCACAAGTTTTCTTTACCTGTTCAGGAAGTTCCGTTTCAATTTCCAGTTTTTGAAAATTCTGAAGGAAGATAACTAACAGATAATGGAAAATTGCTGTGAAAAAGTAGGTTGAGGTTTAGAAAGTATTTCTTGTACAGAGGACTAAGAAAAAATTGTAACACATATAGTGTTGAAAAGGTAATTGCTTTACTTGAGTGGCCCCCATAAACTTCAAGCCATTGCCTACTGACTCTGTTGGGAAGAATTTCTCTTTTATCTTCTAACTGAATAGTGAGCAAGGTTGGGGCTGGAATTTGATGCCTGTCCAAGGAGAGGTATTTTGAAAAAAACTCGGTCATCTGTCGCATAACGAGTATAGGAATATCATCTTCCATATTAAACTACAAGTGACACAAGGTTAAAGGTTAAGCTTACACTTGGCCATTTATTGGGAGGAAGTGGGGGGGAGGATAGATGAAATTACATGCAGAAGCTAAGCAATCAATCTCTTGAACGTTTTGGCTATATTGTGTGTATATAAAATGACCCTGTCGACATCTTTATTGAATTCTTAATAAGAGTGCTACTGTAGATAAAGTATATTGACATATATCTGTTAGAGATGTTTAAGTCCAGTACCCAACCTGTTGGGTCATCTTGTCTTCTAGTCCTATTAACAGTGATAAACAGTTCTTTTTAAATGAAATGAAGATGTGAAAATATTAACTGTCATGGTAAGTTCATAACTGATTACAGTGATTTTTGGATATTTGAGTCCTGGATTCATATTTTTCCACTGGGATTTTCACAGATTTTGAAAAGTCTCAATATTGGTATTTGAACTATCAAAATTTCAGATTTGATATAATCCTACAAAAATAACTGAATTTTTAAGAATCCCGTGATAATTACAAGTTCATGTTTGGTAATATCAATCACTTGCCATGCTTAATCTGAATACAGGTATAAACTCACCTGTTGCACCTCATGAAGTCTATTGCAAGCTTTTTGGTGCATTTACATTAAGATGCACTGCATGAGGAGGAGGGGGGTCATGTAAAGGTAGAGATATGGGATCAAGACAAGAGATCACTTTCTTTGCCATATATCTATCTATATAGATATTTTACTTCAGTACTTTTTCTTTAGGCTATGTGTCAAACAACCGGTTAGATAATCAAACCATTGAAAAATTGAGAACAAGTTACAAGAGAAAAAATAAGGCACTGTGATTATCTATTGATGTCAGTTCCTGACTTTGACGTTGTTTTAATCACACTGAATTCACTGGTGTATAGATTGATGACTAAGGATGATGGCATATGTACTGTTACCCAGGATACATCTGACCTATATTTGATGGTTGACTGACCTAGTTTTTGCTGTTTTTTTAGACTTAGTGTATCTCATCCTGTAAGACATCAACTAAATATGTATGAAACAAAGTTAGTCAAATAAAATAAGATGTCAGTTAACATATAAGGACAAAGGTCAAGGTCAAGTTACTGATGAAATTTTATTTTTAATGCAATTTTAAATGCTATTTCAAGTGGTAACTATTTTACTGACTGATCAAAGGTCAAGGTCATTTTGTGATAGGTCCAAATTTTGTTACATTTGTATTGCTTAATTATTCAATATTTTATTCAACTAACTGAAGCAAACTCTGTCAAATAAACAAAAGATAGGTCAGAGGCCAGTCATACATTTAGTCAGAGCCAAATTCATGTTTGGCCAGAGGCCAAAGTTGTTTGTTTGGTCCGACATCAAAGTAATGTTTGATTGGCATAAAATAAAAAATCAACTGAAAAATGGACAAGTTCATTAGATATGGCTAAGTCTATTCACTTATAAAATCACATGCTACAGTAGCTTGATCTGACCCAAAGTTTTTAATTGCTTGACCGTTTGTTTTCCTCTATAAATGATTTGGTTAAATTGAACTCTTTAACTTTTTTAATCTCTGTTTTGCAAGTTATTCATTGTGTAAGGACAGACAAGGGATTTTTTTGGTCTCTTTCTTTGTTAAGGGGTTTAACAACAGGTTAATTATTATAACACTTACAGGAAGTTAAATATTTTTTCTAAAAATTAGATATATAGAGTCAAAAAGACAACACAAAACATTTTAAACAAAGTCTTCCTTTGCCTTGTGTTGAGATAAGAAAGATAAGAGAGGTAAGTTAAGTGGAAAAGAAGAATGTCGACAACAAAAATCCATACAGAAGTTGAAGCCAAGAGGTGATTGCTGTTCCAGGAAGGTAGGTTTCCTGCCAGGATATATAATCAATGAATACAAAGATATTTTGGAAAAATTGTTGTCACGAAGTAGTTGTTATTGTATTAACTTTTTTAGTAGGTAATAGAACTCCATTTTCAAATTTTATATACTAAGGGAGATAACTCCTATGATATTAAAGGTTGGACCTCTGATGAGTGGCAGGCCTTTGTTGATCACGCCAAGTTATAACAGAATTTAGCGAATTACATCAAGATAAAATTGTATTGTGTAGCCGTACTGGATATAATTCGCTATTTAATGATAAAAAATAGTGGACAACAATGCGTACCTTTTTTGTCATTGTGAATTTTGTATTTTTCGTGTATCAACCAAAATGCCCGAAACACGCCCAGTACGTGTCAGGTCTCCGTGTCATTCCGCTGCTCGTGTTGAAATCGACCGTGGAATCGTCGACTATCTATAAGGTAAGTTCGAATTGGTAAGTATTCATTGGAATTCAAATTGACGATGAATAAAGTTGTTATAAACTGTGATCAGGGACAGTAAATAAATGTGCCAATAAAATGATATAATTCCAACAGCGTGTTTGTGATAATTAATTTTCTTCAATTGTCTTAAACTTTTTTCCTCTAGTACCAATTTACACATTTCAATTAAAAGTGGTGCTCGCGATAAAGCACCTCGCATACAATACTTCACTTCAATAAATGAATTCCAAGAAAGAAAAAATCCTTTTTCGATGAATCATTCAACGGACTGAAGTTGGCATAGGATCTAACAACGGTGTTCAACCCTAAATTCAGAAGGAAAGCAGTTTGATGAATAACGTGCAACAGTCTGTGTACTGTCGCGAAACCGCATATGCAGTTCAACGTCGCCATGAAGTACGATCTAAAATTGTGGACATCGTTTGAAATAAAAAAAAATATGGCTTTCAATTCAACTTGATTATCAGAGTTATAATCACATGTTTAATCTAAACGAACAGCAAAGAAATAAAGATCGAGTTAAGATTTACAAATGTAGAAAATGTTTTTAGCCCAATAATACTGGTTAACATCCTCGATAGTCCAGGGGTTACGACTCGCTCTCTACACATCTGGAACATTGGCAAAATTGAGGGCACAAACGAAGTAATTTAAATGGGATTCAGTAGGGGGAAACTGACCAATAATATGCTGATAAGCTCCTGTTGAAGATTACAAAGGAGCGACACCCGAATTCAAAGCCATTACAATATACTGTTATGAGACCTCGAGATTCGTTTGATATACATCACAGGATCTTTCCGTCTTGTCCTCAAGGTGTCGTACATGGAACCTTAAATTTTGCCCTTCATCTTCCAGTGGTGCAGAGAGCGAAAGTAATTGTAACCCTTTATCGCCAACCGAGGATGACCGGTCGAAGGCCAGTTTTCTTCCCTAGTTCTCACGACTGTTTAATAAACTAGTCTTAAGTATTATTTCCATCTTATAGTAGGGTTACATATTTCCACTACAACGGAAGAAGAAACACCATTCATCATCCACTGATTTGCAGGTTGTATGTAATATGCATTCTAGGTTTTAATGTACCATAATTATTTCCAGGTCACGTTCGCACAGTCTTGGAGAAAAATCTAGTCAGATTATAATCGGACATATTTAGGTATGCTTCTATTTTATGGTCTTTGTTAGGTTTGTTTAAATTTAATTTGTTACTCTCATATGAAGAATTGTCGACAAGTAATTGTTTATATTTAAACCAGACTTTGTATTTTATATTGAAT